CTCTACCACACTGCTTCCTGCCACTTCTACAAGAACTGAGCTTGCTCGCTGCTGAGGCCTGCACATGTTCTAAGCTTTCGAGAACATGCCATTTCAGAAAGGACTGAACTGATTTAACAGCACAAAACACAGAGGATTATTTAATAATAGTGCTAACTACAACTCAATTTGACATATTCTGAAATATTACAGCTTGGCTTGATTAGCTAGTAGTTGTTCCTCCCCAACACACACACACACACACACACACACACACACACACACACACACACACTGAGCTCTATTCTTTCCATAATGACAAAACCCACCTTCCATTATAGAGTAGGAAGACCCCTAGATGCTATTTTTTTGCAACACGAACCTGTTTTATTTTTTTTCCAAATACAGATACTGATGCTTGCACATTTTAAAATACTTCAAGGCAACATTTCTATACACAGCGCCTTCTGTTCTAATAGCACATAAATAAATATGCATCCACAGGGCAGCACCGGCCCATCAAGAATCTACCTTGCATACATTCATCACATAAGCAAGATGACTGATCAAACTGGAACTGTCTTCTCAAAAAAAAAGCAATTTTTTATAGGTGGATAGTTTCTTCTTAACAGATTTGCATATGTGCATACACACAAATGCAGTTTAAAATTTTAATTACTAGATTTTCTTTTATAAAACTGCATTTGAGTATCACATCTAGGGCAGGTATAACATTGAAGATAGTCAATTTTGAAGCTTGTTCAAAGATAGAAACAAAAACTGAATGATCCTAGATGCTTTGGCACCAGGACGTGGGAACATGGATCCAATCAGGACCAAAGGAATGTGATAAAGACTGATGGGCTTTTAGAAAATGTGTTTTTCTGTAATTAAAAAAAAAATGCATTGGGGTAGGGAGGTGTCTCAGTAGTTAAGAGAACTGGCTATTCTTGCAGAAGACCAAGGTTTCAAACCCAGCACCAATAATGGCAACTAACAACTGTCCACAACTCCAGGTCCAGGAGATTCTATGCCATCTTCTGTTCTCTGTGGGCACCGCATGACACAGGTACACCTACACACATTCAGCAATAACATTCATTCACATAAAATCAAAACAAATTTTAAAAAATTTTTAAAAACATGCCTGCTCTTGATTGCAGGTCTGACAAGCACTATTGCAGCCACCAAGTAACCACAGACAGAACAGATGTGCACAGGATAGTAGAGTGGCAAGAGGAAAGCATCTGTCCACGCCGAACTCCAGAATATCCCTGCAGCTTCCCTATTTCTGGACTTCCTGCCAGACTAGATATAATTGACCTTAATATTTAAGCCACATTAACTTGATTATCCTCTAACTTACATCCAAAATACATCCTCAACTTAAAGTCCCTAGAAACCATATTTCAGAAAAGAAAGAGCTCTGAATATTGAGTCAAATAACACAAGTTCTAACTCATTTGTTGGTCAGTACCCCAAATCTCTCTGAGTCTCATTTTCCATATCTGTAAGATTGTTATAATGCACAATCACACAGTAACATCAGTTAAATAAGGATAAGGGAGGGCAGTTACAAAAGTCACATGTTGTGATATGAATATAACTACTTTGTCAGTAACATTGTTTAACTCAAATGAAACTTCTTGATGATAATTAAACCATAAACTTTACAAATGCAGCCATCCATATAACCCAACTAATGACTCATTCCTTTTCTAGAAAAGCCTTATAGTAAACATTGATAGCATCTCTATAATTGACTAAATTTATATTTGCATCTGAACAGCAATCCTAGCATACCACTTACACAAAGTAGGCAATCCATAAATACAGGTGTGTATTGGATAATTTCTTTTCACAAGGGTAGTTTATATTGATTACCACTGAGTTCCTAATACAAGTTTGCAGTCATCAGTCAAGTAGTGGTTAATGAACACTTGCTACATGTCAAGTGTTATGGACTCAGTGATAAACTACATGAACAACTCTTGTGAAAGGAAATTATCCAATCCGCATCTGTATTTATTGAGTGCCTACTTTGTGTAAGTGGTACACTAGGATTTCTGTTCAGGTACAAATACAAATAAAATCAATTGTAGAGATAACTTTCCATATCTACTGCTAGGCTTTGCTAGAGAAAGAACAGTGTGAAATGTCTGTGCTTTGTTCAATAAATGTAAATATTAAAATTGGAAGGTTCATTAGAAACAGAAGTAACCATCCCAGTATCTGAAAAAAATAGAAGGTATGCAGAACTTTACTCTCACTGAAACAGCAACATTGAGTGAAATAGTGTGAGGGCAAAGCCACACCCTTCCATCATATCCAGACTCCAAAGGCTGGCTCAGTCAGAAAGCGAGAGGGAGTATTCACTGACTCTTTTCCTTCCTAGGGCTCTGTATAGGTACTACCCTATTGCCCATTTTAAATTCTTCTTCCATCCTACATAAACATTCATGCACAAGTGATATGATATGACAGCATCCCAGACTGTGGAAAGAGACTGAGCCAGTGACTTCCTCATTCCCTCTAGAACTTGCTGCCGGACTGCTGACACTAGGCTATTTTGTTGTGTTTGAAAGTTTTCTTTGTGAAAATACCAAATTACATTTTTTGACAAAGAAATAGCAAAAACTGTTCTGTTTACAAAATATATCTTCTAAGGTGGTGAATTCAGTTATTCTGGGAGTGGCAGGAGAGGAACAAGAAGGCTCTGCCCTCTCCATTGTGGAAAACCCTTAAGAAGAACCAAGCTTTTCTTACATGCCTCTTGACCATCACACCGTGTAAACAGAGCATAGGTAGGCAACCCCCCTTAACTTTTGCCTTGGTTCACAGTTATCTTTTGATGTTTATGGATAATTTGAGGGGGATGTGATCTGAAACATAAAAATACAGTGTGTAGAACTAAAGAGTATTTGAAAATAGTTTTCTTAAAAAAAAAAAAAAGGTTCTGGGAGCTGAAATGATCCACAAGTAGCATTCAGATCGTGGCATTCCAATCAGCTATGGAATGCCAGCTTTCCTGCCAGATTCTGAACATGGTTTATTTGCAAACTGGCAGGGATGTCACTTTGTCCACTCAGTTATGCATCCCTACTGGCCTTCAAGTCATTGTTCCAGCCCCAATCCAGCACCATTCATCTGCTTCTATGTTGGAAATCTCACTGAAAATTTAGTTATTTTGAGTATAGAGTACTAAGTCAAATACATATGTGAGCTTTGATACAGACCATTCTATATCTGAGTGCCAGCAGCTTAGTCTCTTTTGGATAAATACCTTAAGATTTCAGTGTCTCGTTTTTCTTATCCATAAAATTAGAATAATGTCAACCAGAGAGGTTTATAGTAAAGATTAGATTTCACAGATGAAAAGGGATAGCACATGGAAGGTGTTGGAAATGGAGTAGAACCACTCATATGGTCCTGAGACTCCTTGCTGGTAGAACCTGCTGGAGAGTCTGTTTTACTTTCTATCTGAAATGCTTAGTAGGGAAAACAGGCTAATGAGACTCTCAAGGATTCTGGGCTCCACAAGCAGCACTCCTTGCATCCTGGTGTGAACAGAGCAACTAATACACACTCAAGAGCCTTTCCCCTTGCCTCCTTTCCTGGGAGATAATGGGGCACCGTAGTCCTGCATTGGAACTTGCTCAGTTGTTGGTTTACAACCAGCTGTCAGTTTACAAATGTTTCACTACCCCCCCAACTACCCATAAACACCCACTGATGAATGAAGCAAGAAGTCAGGGAAAGGGAAAGACCTTTCATTCACTGGTGGTTCACACAGCCTAGGGATGGATCCCTGCTTCTAGGAGTGCTGCCTCATTCCCCTCCCATAGGCAAGGGTCCTAGACCCTCATCACTTGGTCGGTGAGAAGAGGAAATCCCAGAAATTATTAATTATTATTAAGTAGATTTTTAAAGCATGGAGTTAATAATGCTTAGCCCTAACACCACCTTTCCAGATTGTGCATGCCACGTTGGAGCAGGTTTTGGGGTACCAAGAGATGCACACACCAACCTAACTGTACAAACATGGCAAAGGAGGGGGACACACACACACTACTATAGCAGCTCACAAAGAAATTTGATGGTGCTACTATGGGCCTTTAATCCCAGCAACTGGAGGAAGAGGCATCTCTGTGAGATGGATCTCTGTGAGATGGGAGAGGGATCTCTGTGAGAGTCACACAGCCTTATCTGTATAGTGAGTTCCACGTGGGCTGGGGTTAGGGAGAGCCTATCAAAATTTTTTTTCTTTGCCAGCCCAAAGACACTTATCTCCCTAAAGAGGGTGTGGCTAGTAAAAGTACCAAATAAAGTACCTTCTCCAATTTGGCAACAGTGAATATTCCCCAGGAGTGCAAAAAGCTCTTTGACCAAGATTTAGGTTCTTGAAGGATTTCCCATTTGCCAGTCTCAGAAACTTTTCATTTTTCTGAAACACAAGTTCCTTTCAAGGCAGCTCCAGTTCCAGACAATGTGCATCCCATCCAGCAAGGCAAGAATCCAAGGCTACCCATGGTTTTACACTTTGCCTCATGTAAAGAAGTAAAGACTACCAGCAGAGGAGTAGCAGGGGGCAAGAAGCAGGTTCCCAAACTAAGGATCCCTCTGGAGCCTTGGCTGAAGCATTCCTTTCCCACGTGTAGAATGCGAGAGAAACCAAGTAGGCGGCGTGGAAGCGCCCCCCACCCCCACCCCAGGCTTATCCGGCTCACCACGTCCTGGTGGGGCAGAAGCCAAGGGGGCCAGAGTCCAGCAAGAGGCATTTACCCACCGCGTCAGCTCTCAGCTAGGGTGAAGCAATAAGGGGTAGGGGCCTCGGGAGGGGATAATGTAAAGAGGACGCTAACAGAGAGCCAAAGCCCCCAGCCTCAGCGAACGGAAGCAAATCCGGCTTTCTGGCCGATGGGGTTTCTCGGCTGAAGCGGGTTCCCCGCCAGCTTAGCCCACCCTCAGAGCCATCTCAGTCCTGCTCCCTGAGGACACCGCACGCCGGGCACTCTCCGCACCTGGATATGGCAGGAGACCTCCGAGTCGTCCAAGAGTCGAATGGTGCATTTCATCTCTCGGCTTAGCGATTTGATGCTGGAGCTCCGAAAATGAATCATTTTCATGGTCCTCCCGCCTCCTGGCACACAGTGGCAGGAAGTGAACATGCACAGCAGCACCTGGGAGCGAGCAGGAGGCGCGGGGCCCGCGCGGCCTTAGCCCGCGGGGACATTTACACGCGTTCAGCGCGGTCCTGACTCCTGGCCCGCCCCAGTCAGCGACGCAGGGCTGCGGCCACGCACAAACTGGCCTGGGCGGGGAGCCTCTCCTAGCTCTCAGCCTAGCCCGCTGCTGTCCCCGCCTCCTTTGGTCTGGAACTCGGCCCCTCCCTTGGCGAGAGTTGAGGCTGAGGATGGCTGAACCCCGCCACCTTCAGCCAGAGCGCGGAACTCCTGGCGGGATGGAGGCGGAGGAACGTGAGGTCGGAGCAGGTCCGGAGACCTGGCTGACGTGAGTTCCCGGCGGCAACATAGGCCTGCCGCCTCCTCCCTCCTTGGTTGCTGTGGCCCATCCCTGCCCTGCTTCGGTAGGAAGGAGGCGCCCGGCATAGGGAATGAACTCCTGGGTCCTGGTGGTGAGCAGAAAATAGAAAGCATTGCAAAACACCTTCAAGGGGGAGTCCACTGCCAAAGAGGATTGTGGGGCAGGTTGGTAGTCTCAAACAATGGCTAGAGACTGTGAATGGAAGTTTCTGGATAAAAACGTATCTTCAAACTGTACTTTCTTCTGCAAGGCTTATTACTGATTACTCCTGTGATTGTGGAGAGTCTTTAAGTTCCAGAACCTTTAGCCCGGAAATAACCATTTCCTTGCCCATCTTTGTTTTTGACCCAATATCCTGTGACTAACAGATAAAACAAACAAACAAACAAACAAACAAAAAACTTTCAAAAGGTATTTATTAGCCAGATCCCACCAATCAAAAAGCTAAGAATGTCATCAAATAGCATCTGAGACCTGTACTAGAATTTGCCCCCTTTGCTGTGACCTGCCCATTGTCTGTATTCACCAATGTATTTGAAAAAAATGATTTGTGATTTTTCTTTGTTCTGTTATTATAGAAAACTTCATGAAAGTGCTTCCGTGCTGGAACATGGAATTTGGGCTAACCTGAATCTGTGTTCCAGGGCCATGGCCACTCATGTTTGGCACCAGAAGAAATTATCTCATCCCATTTGAGGTTAGAGTTATGCTTTTGTACCATCAAGACCTACCCACTGCTACTCCATGCATAGAACTGTAGTGAGAGCCTCTAGGATTCCTGGAGAGTTTTTAAGGTCATTGTTTCCCTGGAGTGTGGTGGTGTACACCTTTAATCCCAGCACTTGGGAGGCAGAGACATGAGGATCTCTGTGAGTTCAAGGCCAATCTGGTCTATATTAGTGAGTTCTGGGCCATCAATATTAGCTGAGCTCAACTTCCTTCTTTCTCCCTTGGGAAAGAATTGTTTTCCTTAAACAGTTTCTCATTTTTATTCCCCACCTTCTCCATGTGATCTTTGGTTGCAGTACTACTTAGACCTCAACAAAAAGGAACCCCATCCTGTCCACCCCATTTAGATTGCCTTCTCTACTGCCAATGACATAGGAATCCTGGCGTCTAATGACAAAGGAAGTCTCCCATTCTGCTTTAAAGTAACCTGTGAGTGCTGGGAACCCAGAATTCCCAACTACTCCAGGAATTCCTTGTCATCCCAAAGTGTCCCAGGTCCTTGTGTGACATGCCCTTAGGTTCAAGGAGAGCCTGAGAGGAGGCTGCTGAGTCAGGTAGGAAAATTAATGAAATCTGCCTTGCTCTGCTGTCTCTTCGGGTCAGTGAGAATGGACCGTTTGCTAGAGGAAGGACTCATTGCTAGTTATCAGCTCTTAAGGGTTTGCCACACATGCACAGTCCCTTCATCGAAAGGGATACCCTGTCCTCTAGAGGAAGAAAGGCTCTGAAATTGTACCTAACCTTGGAACAGTCTGATGGATGCCTGATTGGACTAACTACATCTTGGTGGGGCCTGCATTGCACTTAAATTTCCCCCTTTACCTGCTCCTACTTCCGACCATCTTTCAGCACTAATAATCCTATTGGCAGTATCCCCTCAACTCTCCAAACTGCAACAATTTTCAAGGCAGAAGCCCCTGATGGCCCATGTCTGTAACCCCAGAACTAGAGAGGATGAGGCAGGGAATAAAGAATTTGGGGTCAGCGTGAACTGTATAATGAGACTCTCTAAAAACAAAAACACAAAAGAAAATAGGAAGAGAATATATTTTACACAGCATTATAATAGCTGGATTACGATTTTTAATATTTAGACAATAGTGTGTGGGCCTCCATAGAATAGGGCCTGATTGGCCAAATTTGAGGGTCTGGGAAGATCTGAATTTGAATCTTGGCCTGAGGCACATTTCCATGACAGTCTGCAAAGTTGTTTCAGGGACCTCTAATTAGGTCCTAAATGGGACTCTTGATTTTGCTACAGAAAAGAATTTCAGAATGAGCCAGTATGAAGCACAGCTGGAGTTTATTAAGAAACGAGTTTAAACTGTCCCCACACTTCTAGCCCTAGCTTGGGTAACATAGCTCATGCAGTAGCCCATCCTGGTGAATTCCCTGAACTCCTCACCATCATATTCACACTCCCAGGCCAGGCTGGGTTTGCACACCTAGCGCACTAGCCCAGGCAAACCCAGCCAGGAGTTACATTTGTACTCGTTCTTCGCCACCAAATTGGAATTGCCTTGTCCACTGAAAAATCAGCACCGAACATGTGAAGACCTGACCTACTGATCTGAAATCAACCAAGCTTAAGAACCAAACTTCCATTCAAAAGAGGCAAGTTAGAATTTCATACCAGGCACACAACCTACAAAAGAGGTCTGCATGACCAAATCACTTGGCAAAAACACATACAACACAAAAGATCAAAACGGTATGTCCCCCAAAACCACTACTTCTATAGAACTATTCTACAATGAGGATTATCTAGATGAAACCCGGGACACAGAATTTAAAAGAATAGTCAAATGTGTATTTGACTATTCATGTCTTTCAAAGAAGACACAAACACATACTTCAATGAACTTTAAGAGGATAGGAATAAACTCCTGAGTGAAGTCCAAGAAAATACAAATATAAAACTGAATGAATTGACAAAGACAGTTCAAAATTTGAAAACTCAATTCAGTAAAGATACAGAAATAATGAAGAAAACCGAAGCTGTAATAAACATGGAATTGAAAAACTCAATAACACAACTCGAAAAATATGCAGAAAATGTAAAACCATCAAAAAAACCAAATCTATGAATTATAGGTAGAAGAAGGAGAATTCCAGATCAATGGTGTAACTCAGACCGTCAGCAGCATCATGGAAAAAAGTCTTCCACAAATTAAGGAAGGACATACCAATACAGATACAAGAAGCACATAAAACACTAAGTAGACAGGCCCAGAAAAGAAACTTCCCACAGCATATTATAGTTAACATTAAATATACAGACCAAAGAGAGGGTATTGAAAGCTGCAAGAGAAAAAACACAAATCACACATGAAAGAAAACCCATCATAATAACAGCTTTTTTTCAATAAAAAAATTTTAAAGTCGTAAGAAGTGGAGCAATGTACTACAAGTACTTAAACTACAAGTTCTAAAAGACCACAGACTATTTTACTGAGCAAAACTATCAGTCATAGGTGAAGGAAAAAGAAAAACTTTCCACGATGTAAATAGGCTGAAATAATTCATGTCATTCAGTCCCCAGTTGACTCCCCACCATAGACTCTCCAGTGGTCCCATGTGGTCTGCTGGAAAATTGCCTATGCCCTGCTACCATCATCCCAAAGGCCCCCTTGCCAGTGACCAAAACCTCTCCCTGGCCCTCATTCCTCCTTTTGAGAGTCACCAAACTCTAGCCAGCTCCCCACCAGGGCACCTCTAGTCACTTGCACATGGCCTTTAGACACAAATAGGCTGCCTACACCCCTGCCATCACCCCAAAGCTGCACCACTTCTTTCCACTAACACCTCTTCTTGGCCACTCTTTTTCCCTTTATGATCTAACAAATCCTAGTCCAGTCCCCACTAAGGACTCTTCCAACTGCCAGGAGACCCTGACTGATCTTTCTCTTCAGGACTCACCAGTGTTCTGCCAGCTACCTGACTGGGACCGTCCTGTTGTTCCATTGGGCCATAAGACCCAGAATCAGACAAAAGTGCCAGGGGAAACCTGTTCCAAGTTTCTCAACCACTACGGGTACCAAAATGTAGCTTTCAAGCAAAAGACCTAAGATAGAGGCTATAGTCCTAGGTACCATACAAAAAGAGAAAATCAATACCATAATCCTTCTATGAATTAGCCTTCTCTGGAACATTAAAAACATTCCTGCTGAAAGAAGGTGACTTGAATAGAAAAAGAGTCAAAGAAAAACTCAACAAACTAACTCCAAATAGGAAAATGCCAATGCAGGAATAAAAACATGAAGAAAAAAATAAATAAATAACATGTCTCTGCCAAACAGTACAAATCCCATAATAGTGGTTCCTAATGAAAATGACCTGGAAAAACTTCCAAACAAAAAAATACAAAAGAACGACCATAGCTATGGTCAAACAACTCAAAGACAGATAAATGAAACAGGGAAGTCAATCCAAGTAACATAAACAGAGTTCAAAGTACTGAAGAAAAACCCAACTGAAATGATGCTGAAAGTAAAAAAAAAATTCAGTAAACCAAATAAAACCTCAGTGGAAAAGCTCAATAACAGAATTGATAATGTTGAAAACAGAGAATCAGGAATGGGAGACAAAATAGAGGAACTGGATCACTCAGTACAACTCAATGAAGAAAAGATTTAAATAAATAAACATGGGAGAATTTGGGGGTACCGTGAGAAGACATAAGCTTTGAATTATGGGGATAGACAAAGGAGAATAATATAGTGAAGGCATAGACAATATTTTCAGTAAAATCATGATAGAAAATTTCACAAACATCGAGAATGAGATGCTCATTCAGGTACAAGAGGCCTCTAGAACGCCAAATAGACAAGACCAGAAAAGAAATTCTTCATGACATATTACAGTTAAAACATTAAAAACAGAGAGCAGAGGCATTGAAAGCTTCAAGGGAGAAAGGTCAAGTCACTTATAAAACAAACCCATTAGAATGACACCTGATGATTCAACAGAAACTTTAAAAAAATATTGCATTTATTATTTTTATTTTATGTGCACGGGTGTATTGCCAAATGTATGTAAGTGCACCTGTATCATGTAGTGTCTACAGAGGTCAGAAGACGGCC